GACTTTGCTTTTGGAATCATTGTCCTTGTGTTATTATCTGCCCTTTGTCTCCTTACCCAGCCATCCTCTCTGAAGTGCAGGTGCTGATTCTGCAGTGAGGTCAGCATCATCCCTCCTCTTACTTTGCACTATAGGTTGCATTGCAGGAGCCCTAAAAGTTTGCATGCAAAAGTCAGTTCTTGGCATACTCTTCTCTTAACTATATTTCTATATCTACATTTTATTATGTTTACATTTGTTTACACAAATTCACATATACATTTTATGTATTTTTATATACATTTGTGTGCTCAACTAGCAACGTGGTTTTGTTACTTTTTCAAGCTGCATATGTGGCACTTTCAAACTGCAGATCAAATACCAGCCTGAATACTGTGACAGCTTCACAGACATGCTGTCTTGCTTTATATTTCTAGAGGTATATGGCTTAGATACAGTTACGGAACTATGGCAGTGCAATATATCATATTACTATTAACTATCCCCTCATTATAGAAATATTAAGAAAAGCTGTAAGACAAGAACCATAACTGGAAGTATCTAAACAGAAGCATAGTAAGTATAAAGAAAGGGTTGGAAATTTCTATCGCAGTAGGCATGTCATAACAAAGTCTTTTGGGGACATAAACTGTTGTCTAGGATCAAAAACTTCAGAAATTTAAAGTCCATGATTGCCATCACTGCACGACTGTAGAAACAGCCTGGCAGTGTAGATGATTAGAACTTTGCATACAACTTATTCCTTCCGCATCCGTGTACAGTTCACCATCAAAAACAATGCATCCAAAACCAACGGTCTGTACACCAAATAACAAACATCTCAGCTGATGGAAAGAGAGGGACATTCAGACGCTTTCAGAAAGCTAGGCCTTTGGCATAACAAAAATGAAGATTTAAGCTCTGGCTAAAGTCCACGCTATTTATTCCTACTCCTCTCCACAGTGAGAAAATAGCCTTAAATGCTTAATCCAAACAAGAGCTGTGGTCACTTAGTCAAAGAGGACTACACCCATGTAACAATGAAACAAAGCAACAGCATCTCCTTTTGTGAGATCCACACCCATCAGCATGAGTTTGCTATTTGCATATTTTCTAATGTCTTTGCATTTGTATCTGTGAATAAGGTAATAAAAATAAACATTAGAATGCGTGACACAAAATACCAGTCTAAAGTATCACAATAAAATGAAAGCTGGCAAGACATAACGCTAGAGAACATGAGTCACGTAAGGCCTGCAGGGGAACAAAAGGGAGGAGATCTGTCTTTGTTGGTTTTCATGTACGCTAATGTTCTAACGAAGTCCCAAGCATAATAAGGGACCTGCTTTTGGCTAGCTCTGCAGGACCCAATGGTATTGCAGATGCACTGTGAAGAGTTTCAAGCCAAGAAATTGTGGCAGTGATTTGTGAGTCTGCTGCAGCAGCACTCCAATATGGACCGGTGTGATTACAGCAGGGTCACTTTGTCATCTGTAAAATATTTCAAGTTTTATTTATAAAGGCAAGCAGCTCAGACAAAGCAGGACCTAGCTTTCTGAGAGATACTTTTTAAAATTCTTCCCTTCTAGGGTGGAGAAAAAACCTGCCCATTCTGGAAAGATATCTGCAGCTTTTGGATTTTGATGTCTCTATTCAACCTTTCAAACACCATCTCCTCAAAACAGCATAAAAAAACCCTGCTGCAGCTAGTATCAAAAGGTAACATGCTTCGCTAAAAAATATATTCTGATTTTTTTTTTGTATTTTGAAATGAAATGCAAAAAGCCTCCATGCAGTACAGGGAAAAAAAGGCTGTATTCTATTGTGCTGATGAAAAGATACATGTTTTTCTGGTTTGCTTTATGGATTACTTACTTCTGATACAACACATTCAACTTTGGTCCTTAAAGGTGATCTCTGCTTTCCCTTCTCACCCTCCCCAAACCAACAGGCCTTTTCGAATTATATAAAACCTTGTTTGCAAAAATAATTTCCTTGGGTGGGTTCTGAGCCTTACCTGAGATGCGCTGGTGAAGAATGGAGAAAAATGCACTCACAATGGAGCTTCGTCAAAAATACTGATGGGAAGCCAGTAGCTGGTTTGTGAAGTCATTGAATGGCAATGACTGAAAGGGGCATGACTAGATATCCAGTTTTTTTAAAAGGATTTTACCTATCATTCTGAATGACCTATAAACCGGGAGAAATTGTTTAATCCATCACTGACGGATGGTGACTATCGTAAGTGCGCAGTCATTGGATTTGTCTGTAACAGTTCATGGAAATCTGAGAAAATGTAAGGCCTTGTCAAGAAAAAAGGAGAGAGTAGGAGTTCAGAGCGCTGAAGGTCAGTTTACAACAGCTTGCTGTCTAGGAAAGTGAGAATATTTTTCTTGAGTAACCCTGCAAACAAGGGCATTTGAGTAATCATTCATTAATATAATATAACTATTAGTTAAAGTTTAACAAGTCAGCCTACGTATGCTGCTATGCTGTGTGACATTTCATAGCAACAGCGCTTGAAATATTTACTTACTTATTGTTTCCTTACCATTAATAATGGTAAGGAAATTAATAAATACCCAAGATCCCGTTTGCATTTCCCTCTGTTAAACAAACCACACTCATTTGTAGATTTAAATGGGCCACATTTTCTGTCGTGAACTACCAGAGATTTCAACTATTTTTATGTGGAGCAGCTTACCCTAATGTCAGAGTGAAATTTATGTAGTTAGGGATTTGCTTCTAGTTTCTTCAGTGAAAGTTTCATATGATTTATTTCATAAGCTCGTTGCTTTCTGTCTCATAATCCGAAAGGTTGCATCAGAGAATAGTTGATAAGAAGCTGGGTTTGCTCACCAAGGGGTATGCTCTTTGCAGAGCACACGCCTGAGCAGGTACTGGAATGTGGGATCACGTTTCTAAATACAGATATTCAAGTATTAGATGTCAAAATAGAAGTGGCCTAATTTACAGTGTCGTAAAGGTTTGCGGCTTCATTGAGGTGAGCAGTTAAATCTTGACATCACTGAGCTTTCTAGTGAAAGGCTCAAGCTCTCAACTGCTAAGTTGAAGAGGAAACTATGGTTGGTATAAATCAAATTGATTACAGATGCAATGAAGGTAACAAGTCCACTGTAGAGGCACACATCCCTCTTCTATCCTCCATGGCAAAGAGGAGACAGCAGAACATGAATACAACCTCATCAGACGCAACAACATCTCCTTAGTGTGAGGCTATGGCACCATCTACGGGTGAGAGCGCTGTCCAAACCACTTGTCCCAATTTCCCCTTCTCTCGAATAGGAATTTGAAAAAAACATGAAAGCATTGCTGTAGTTTTGGTCCCAGGTTTGCCAGCTATGCTTTTTGTCATTCAGCTGAGGATGTTCAGTGCAGCGTAAGTAGCTGAATCAGGCTGCTCTCCTTAGTATTGCTCTCCCTGGGCTCCTTACCCTGGGCTGATGAGACTTGCACTGCTCTGGATGCTGTCCCAGGCTTGCTTCGCCCCCATCTCCTTAGGTCGGGTCCTTGGCTCCAGCCTGAAATCCAGCTATGCTAGACATAAATCCTGACTGTGTTTCTATAATTTCAAAAGCTCCTACAGGTCCAAGGCAATAGTCCTTTCATATTTTCTAAGAAGAGTTGCTCTCACCACAGATTTTATCACAAGCCGCCCCAACTATGTGATCCAGTAAGCATAGTGATGAAATCCCTGAGGCTTTCAGGTTACGGCTCTGGTTCCTTCCTCCTTCCTTTTCTTCACTGCTTTTTATAGTATATGTTGGGAGTATTACCCAGAAAGACACTTGTGCTGCAAATACTCAAAGAGCTTTTGGATATGTTGTATCAGCAACCTCTGTTGCTGTTTTCTCTGGATGGGTTTTCCTTGTGTTTGTGCTATTTCCTCTTCAAAGCTTTGGCTCCGTGTGTCATGTAAATGTCACCGTAACCTGGGACTGGCAGGACACAGTTGCTCTCATTTGATGCGTGTAGGGCACGGAGGATGTTTGTGTACCTGCACTGCCCCTGTGCAGGTGCTGCAGCTGGTTGTGAATGTCCCTGGGGATGGAGACACCAGCTCCTCTGCGACAGCTGGCCCGAGCAAGCTCCACAACATCAGTACAATAAAGCTCAGTGTGGGACCCCACAGAAGAGGAAGATGACATTTATTTCCAAATCTCGTGAGCTGATTTATCCCCCCTGGTTACCCATGTGCCGCCCACTCCTGCCGCAACCCCACACTCACTGTCTCTGGCAGGAGCCCCTTTCATGGCTGGGCCATGGGTGATGGCACTGGTTGGGGGGATACTGGCTGCAGCACCCCACCACCCTGGTTCCTTCTGCTGTGACAGACCTACTAAGGGACCACGCTGGCCCTCTCTAGTTTTGCCACGCTGCTATGCTTCGCAGGAGCTCTGTGAAGGAAACGCAACACTGCTGCCTGTCGGCACCGGAGATAACCAACCAACGACTCCACAGTGGGATTCCCAAACCTTTCCCAAATGTGAAATGATGTTGACCAACATTTAGGCTATTGGTATAGCCTAATCTAGCATTCAGGCTTATTATATTCAGTCAGGGACAGATACTCTTTAATGTCCCAAGTGAGTGGTAGGGGATGTCAAAAGGCAAAGTGGCTTCTGTGTTTGCATGGCTTCTGAGTGCCTCTTCAAGATGCTGCTGTGTCTAGTCTCTTGAGACATACATTTTTTGGTCAAAGTCACATTGATTTGATATAAAAAAACACGTAAGGGACCAACTCAAATAGCAGTGTAAAATGGTAGAGGTGTTAGCAGATCTGGCAGGTATAAGGAATAATGTTCCTCTTATAATCTTTTTCTCTTGCACAACATTCATGTGAAGTATCAGCAAAGGTGATGTGAAGGTGTAAAAAGTAGGGCCAGCTCTGTGCCTTGTCCCACCTCTGCAACCTCTTGGGCCTACAGTTCTGCGTGGCAACTCCCACTCCCCAGTCCCTTGCTCCATAACCACCCCGCTCGGCAGCACAGCTGGACATGATGTGCTGCCTCCTCACACGGCCCCTGCTGCCCGAGAGGCGAGGTCGTCTCTCTTCCCGCTTTACAGGACCCTGGCCACGTTTGAGATCCTTTCCTCAACAGTGGCTGTGACCAGCTGCCCGCCTACACTTCAGGTGCGCTGTGTGGCCCACGAGTCCTCGCTTGGGTCTATTTGGTCCTTCAGGCTGGACCTGCTGTTTTGGGGGCAGGACCGCTGCACTTGGAAGCCACCAGGGAGGGAGAGAAAATGGCCTGTTCCTCCTGGTGAAGCTCCCCAGGGCATTCAGGCGAGGGGCTGAAAGACAAGCTCTTTCTGAAAGGCTTTTTCTCCATCGCAGGCCTCTGGCGTGGTGAGATGTCTCTCTCACACCAGGAGAGTTGGGGAGAGGGACACATCACAGCCCGAGAGTGTCTTCTGGACATGGCCGCACAAGCTGCCAGAGGCAGCAGTTAGATCCAGGGGCCACAGCCCTGCAAGCTGGTTATTTCCATTCTGCGGCGCTCACAACAGGGATAACGCTGGCCTTGGTATCTTTTAAGTGGTGTGGAGCAGCAGAGAGGGAAGGTGCTTAAGCCCTGCAGTGTTGTCAAACGCGGCTACCGTCCTGCTCTCCCACAAAACCGTGGCAGGTCTGAGCCTGAGGCAAAACCTCCGGCCCGGCCGCCCCGGCAGCTGTCTCCGCTCCGCAGTGGCCTATGTTTCTGCCCGGGATCAGCGAGGTGTACGGGAGCGGGGAGCTCCCACCCCCGCCAGGCGCCGGCCTCCCCGCCGCCGCCCGGGATCAGGGTGTCCGGGAGCGGGGAGCTCCCAGCCCCCCCCTTCCCCCTGCCGCGGGTGCCTCCGCACTTGTCCCCGCGGCGCGGGCAGAGGCTGCCGCACGCGCGCTGAGGGGACTTAAGGACACCGCCTTTGCTTTTTTTTTTTTTTAAATTATTTTTCCCCTCCGGCACTCTTTGGGAGCTTTGAAGCGAGGCGGAGAAGGCACCCGGTTTCAAAGCAGTCCCTGCTGGGGGTGCGGGCTTGCTTTCCAGGCTTCACTGTTAATCTTTAGGCTTTCACAGAACCGCCATCTCGTCAGTACCCCTTCCCGCAGACAGACCATGGCCTGGACAACAAAGCGTCGTCCTTCCCCTCCCCGGGCAAACGCCTCCGGGCGCTTCAGGTTCACTGGCGAAGGACGGTAAAAGACGAAGAGGAGCTGCGGGGAGCCAGACCGGGCGGCCATAACACGTCCACTCCCGCCCCCCCCCCCCCTCCCGCCCACACGTCCGC